TTTATATTTGCAATTCTGTTCCTTTCTCAAACTGCCCTGACCATCATAGCCTCTTTGCAAAGGGTAAGGCTCCAGAAAAGAGTATATATTCTCAGGATTAAAAATACTGTATTTGTTTCTTAAAGTGACTTACTTGGAAGAGTCAACTCCAAAAAGACGGAATGATTCAAAACTCTGTGCGAGAATGAACATCTGTTTTACTTTTAGTATAGCTAAGAGATCCTAAGCCTGGTTTCCGTTGGTAAATGAAAATCTGTCATACTAAATTTAAAAAATAATTTGTAGAATAAAAATGAACTTGCTATGAGGAGCGCGGTGACAGTCATCCGTGATGGTTGTTTAGGACCTCGGCTTGAGCTGGGTGGAAAGAGTGGAGTGCAGGAGACTCAGTCCCCAGAAGGGCACTGAAGAAAGGAGTATGCTGCTCAGGGGGTCACCCCTCTCAGCTCTGTGGGTCACATAGTCCCTCCAGAGCAGAGGAATCTGCAGGCAACCCTATGGGTTTTGGATGTAAGATCAACCCTGGGACCAATGGTGTTGAGTGAACAAATACCTTCTGACAACCAGGTCTTATAATGATTAATAATAAGTTGCATCCAAGTGTACCATCCAAACTCCTAATCAGTCTTTTGATGTCTTCACCATTTATGACCTATCCTTTCCAAAATATATTCAAGTCGGGATTTCTTGTATTTGCAGAGAATTAACTCCTATTATATAGCTATTTTAAATTTTATATTATAATCCCTTTAAAATCAGTTATTATACTTTTAAAATTACCTGTGAACACATCATAATTACAAAAGAGATGTATCTGAGGTGATTCTTCCTCTTGCTAAGCTAGAAGTCATTCAGCAGTATGATAAAAGAATGGTCCAGATAAAGAAAGTTGGAAGGCCAAGGGGATTATACTACCTGCCGACCCATCTGCCATTCAAAAAACTGATTGTGTATGGCAGTCTCAGCGCAAAGGAGATTCAGCTTTGCCTGGGCAACATCTAAGCCACTGCTGGCCCCCTGTAGTCTTCAGTCACAGGTAGAGTTTCACAAAACATTCATGTGAGCTACCCTTTAGATGCTCTGTCAGTGGCGTCATGAGGGATATCAACCTCTGTGTTCAAGAAGCTTCACAAATGATTCACAGGCCTGGGTGAGAACCACTGGTATAAGCCACGGTCTGTGTAACAATCTGGAGCCTCTTTGCCACTATCTTTGTGCCATATTTCCTGCTTATGCTACCATGAACTAAAGAAAGCACCATATATGTAAACATCTTGCTTCATAGGCTCTTCAAGATCCAACTAGTTAGTTCAGTTCCAGTCATCCAGTGATACCAAGGACAGAGTTAGGGTTCGTGCACAGTGGCCATCTTTAACCAGTGTACAAGAGGGTGTGAGCTGCACACAAAGGGACAGAGTGGCAGGAATATGAATTGATTTGACTTGGGGCAGGTCATCATTATAGACAAATTAAATAATATTAAATATTATTAGATTAAATACAATCTAGGCTGGGCATTGTGGCTCATGCCTAAAATCCCAGCACTCTGGGAGGCCAGCGCGGGAGGATCACTTGAGGCCAGGAGTTCAAGACCTAATATGGGCAATGGAGTGAGATGCTATCCGTACCGAAAAAAAAGAAAAAAAATTAGCTGAGTGTAGTGGCTCACTCCTGTAGTCTCAGCTACTCAGGAAGAGGCTGAAGCAGGAGGATTGCTTAAGCCCAGGAGATGAAGGCTGCCATGAGCGATAACCATACCACCGCACTCTAGCTGGGGATACGGAGTCAGATACTGTATCTCAAAAAAAAAATTAATTTTTTTATTAAATAGTAATAATCAAGAGAAATAGCAGTTATATGACAAGCATGCATTATTTCAAGACGGTTACATATATATTAGCTAATTTAATCCTCACAACAGCAATGCTGTGAGAGGGGTACTATTATCATCCCTGACTCTTACAAGGTGATGCATGAAGTTGGAAAACACACCAGAGTTCACATTCTCAGTTAAGTGGTAATGCTAACTTTAAACCCAGGCAGAGTTTACATTTTTTTAGAGTCCTTGGTTTTAACCCTTACACCAAACTGCTTTTAATATCTAAATTGGAATTGAGGTAGAATTTGCCAATAAGCTAATAATTTCAAGATATTTCGAAGGTTTATGTTAAATAGCAGTGAGTAGTCAAGTGGATGCCAGTACCTATCTTAAAGGAATTATACCACTGCTCAATTAAAGGCCAACCCCCTATTTCTACTGAGTGAATATTCACAAAATATGAATGAAATGACAGCATAAAGTGATGAACCAGCAGCACAGCCCCTGACCCACAGAGTTCGTAGTTGCTGCCTCAAAAGCACAGGCTGTTAACTTCAGAACAGATGGAATTCCTTGGTCTCCAGAGATGTAATGTGTTTCCTAGGCTCCTGGTCAGGAGAAAACCACCCAACCCATTCAAGTTTGTGTTTTCATATCTGTGCCCATGAAAATGTCCAACCTCAAATTCTCTGCAAACGTTCAGCTAAATGTTGCTTCAAATCTCTCTGAAACCCTTAGCCAATGTCATTTATTCATTCTGACTGTCTGATTCCCCCTCTGGCTCTGAGAAGGCCTCTGATTCCAGAGCTGCCTTCCAACCAGACGGATTAGTTTATGGTCCTACAAGGTTATGTGTGATACATGTGTTTGGGGAAAATGGAGATGCACATTAAGAAGAAACATTACTTTTGGATCCAGGCTGGAGAGCATACATAATCTCCTCTAGAGCCTGTGAAAGACTTCATTTTACACATTAAATTGTGTGGAATTACCCTGGACTGCACTGAACGTGGCTTTTGTGAATAACCAGCCTCAGAACAAGCTGCTGAGCACCAGCTAGGCCTCCAAGCAACAAAGAATAAATGTAAGCAAATGCAATCTGTGTAAAGCAGAGGGGAACAAACGCACAATCTTGTTGACACCGTGCCTGTGTGTGAGACCAATCCTAAACGTTACAATGGCATGTGTTAGAAACAGAGTCAAAAAGTGGCCTTGGTATGCATGAAGGAAACATGAGACAGAAGGGCCTGACATGGCACGGAAATGTTTAAGCATGAAGGTATTCATTTTCTAATTGTTTAGAAGGACTTTTCCATTTTTCTGTGTATTGTAAAAACTCTCTTTTCATAGTCTGGCATAAAAATCCATGCCTGGCAAGTATGGGAAAACAACCAAATTTTTTTTAAACTGTGCATTTTTAGCCATTTGAGAATTTACCTAATCTGAATATTTGACCAAAAGCAACACTTTAACAGCTCAAAAGCTCTTTGAGGTATATAAGGTTCTGCTGAGAATTTTAGGGCAAAATTGGACTTGGGTCTATAAGAAAGAACAGAGACTTGGAAGATTTGCACTGTCCAAGATATCTCCCAGCTTAAAATGCCGTGCTCTTAAGCATAATAAGTAAATCACACATAAAAAATTTAGAAGAAAGATCTTCTGCACATTATGGGGAAATGGTTGGCATCTTATGATGGGTCATCTTACCCTTGTTATTAAATGACAGCAATCATTAAAATGCCAAACATATTTTGACAGAATTTACTTTATAAAATGTCAGCAAGTCTGTGTTTTTATTAGTTTGTTCCAAATCAATTTAGAAATTTCAATAGAATGCTTGTAAGTATTCCCCAAGCAATGTCCATTCCTGACTTTCTGCACAAAAAAATATTACAAATTAATCAGATTTTCAGATTTCTGCATAATGGCTTTGCACGTTTATTGCTTAATCCTATTATAAAATGCTGTTATGATTGACACATTGCAGTGAAGATAGAAGTCAATTGAATAATATGTAGCAGTCAATTTTATTTGTAGCTTAATGTGCTGAAGTATTTTTTCCCGTTTCTATTATTTATAAGTCTGTCCCTTTGGAGAATATATAGAAGAATTTGTTTTAAATGAGCCAATAATACCTTCTTTAAAATTTATAAGTGTGACACAGTCATATCTTTTTTCTGGGTTGTCCATGGCATGCTGGTAAACAGAGTTTGAATTGTCTTCCACTTGTTATTCATAGGACAAACATCAGGAAAGAATATCTTGTTAAGGTTTGCTTGGAATTGGATTTCAACCACCCATTAGAAACTCTGAGGAAACGAAAGTTACCAAGTAGAAATTCTCAAAAATTGCCACTGGTTTTATTTGTTTGTTTGTGTATTTATTGTTTCTGCCACTATCTTACCTGCTACGGTTTGTCCTGAAACAAAGCACAGAAGCACACACAGAGAAATGATCATGTTAAAAGGGTTTGAAGGATTTGCTCTTGGGTGGAATTTCATTTCCTCTGCTCTGGTGTCCAGTGGGATTCCAGAAGGAAGCAAGTTGTGTTCTGTGCTTAGCATAGTGGAACTCCCTGTTGCTCTTGTGGGATTCCTACTGTTTCAATTAGCACCTGGGACACTTGCTTAGGGAGAGCCATATTCTTTTTAGGACATTGTGTAAGGTGATATGGAAAAAGGCTTTGTTTTCAGGAAAGTGATGTCATAAGATTCAGAGTTCAAAGAGTATGGAAGAAGGCCATAGGAGTATGAAGGAGATGGGGAAAGCCATATTAGGGGAAAATACTGTTGGACTTGGTCGTATCTTGGATCACACTTTAATTTTAGAAAATTAGATTAGCTGTGGCTCGCCTGTACTTAAAGGGTGCAGTTCCCCACACATATGATACAGTGGCATACTCTATGCAAACTGAGGTTTAACGTAAGTTTAGTGAAACTGATGATTGTGCTACATTCCCTGCCATTCTAGTCTTCTACCTCTCGATGAACTTGGCCATCCTGAATGTCTCTCATCATCCTTTATGTAGTTCATAAGTGATTTGGGCACTGGAGATATTGATAAACCACTCTGTCATGTCATCTATGCCTTAATGTTATGTGACATCACAGGAAAATGGGGTCGTGTGCAGTTCCCAGGCTGGATCTTATATTAAGGGAGCATTTCTCTTTTTGAATTCCAGGGGCCAGAGGAAACCCGGCACTATCAGACCCAGGCACTCCTGACCAACACCAGGCCAGTCAGACCCACCCCACATTTCCAGTTGGGCCACAGGTCAGTATCTCTCAACTGCTTTCCATTAGACTGCATTTAGGATGGTTTAACCACATAAATAATAATGAGTTAAATCCAATTAACTCCAACAGAACAAAGATGGTAATAAATTTTCACATGAAAAGCTGTATGACTACATTATTTATTAAATACCATCAAGAAAATATGTGTTTGCAAAACTCCTCTCTCTTCTTAAAGGAAAGGTTGGCTTTAATCATGTGGAAACTTTTTTTTTTTTTTTTTTTTTTGACTTAAAACCCACTACAATTGTGCTGTTGGTTACCATGCAGTTTTCTGGAAAGTAAAACTTTAATGACTGGAGTGTGAAGAAAATTAAGTTATTTCAACCTCACTATAGCCATTTTTGAAATACAAGATGTGATTTAATATAAAAAAGTTAATGCAATTTTAATGCAAGTTCAGCTTATTGGGTTTGACAATACTGTACATCACACATAGCTCTTGCATTAATAAAGAAATACAATCATTATTTTTTAAAGTCCAATATTTGTTTTTTGCAGCCTGGTGTGGGCTATATGGAGATGTAGAACACAATTATAAAAGGCTGGGCTTTTTTTCCTTTTTACCTCTGTCATTTAGTGTGAAGCTTTCAGCATTCATCCTGCTTTTATGGAAAGAGAAGCTGATATTTGGCCCTTTCTCTCCCTTTCGCTGTCATTGTTGCTCCTGGAAGTTAATTGCTTTCAGCACATTGAGGGCTCACCCAAGTTTAGAGTGTGGGTTGGTTTTGACGTTCTTATTCCACTCACCACCAAGTCTCCCTATGGCCTCAGTTCCCATAGTCCATCTCAGAGCACAGATAACTCTGTGCCCGTGGACGGAAAGTCTGGGGAAATGTCTGCTGCCTTATGGAAGCCTAGAGAGTTTTCCTGGAACTCTCAGGAGCAGGATTTTTGGTGTAATATGCTTTATAATTTTATGCTTATAATATAGTGTGTGTGCACATGTAATTATGTGTCTCTCTGTGTGTGTATGCCTGCACACGTGCCTGTGACCACACTGGGGGTAACACACTCTAATGCCTTCAGGTTGGGTAGGCAGCCCCACAGGCCCAGGTCAGTGAGGAGTGGTGGCCCTGCGACAATGGAGAGTGCATGCCCTGCCTTGAGCCCACAAATCCTATATGAAAAGTGCTGCAAGCTGAAACCCCCAAATGTGTGACCCATATATGGTCTAAGAACTACTCATTTGCTTTCCCTCTTACCATAATATCACTATTGGTAGTGATGTAACACCTGGAATCTAAGGGCCAGCATATAAATTTGTGTTCATTCCCAAAGTATATTTCTTTTGCTCATTAGAATAACCATATTATTATTATTATTATTACTATTGAGACAGAGTCTTGCTCTTGTTGCCCAGGCTGGAGTGCAGTAGCATGATCTCGGCTCACTGCAACCGCCTCCTCCTGGGTTCAAGTGATTCTCCTGCCTCACCCTCCCGAGTAGCTCAGATTACAGGCACCCACCACCACTCCCAGCTAAATTTTTATATTTTTAGTAGAGACAGGGTTTCACCATGTTGGTCAAGCTGGTCTTGAACTCCTGACCTCAGGTGATCCACCCGCCCTGGCCTCCCAAAGTGCTAGGATTACAGGTGTGAGCCACTGCACCCAGCAGAATAACTGTATTTTTTTAAAAAGGGAAGCACAGTTACTTGTGTGAATTTAGCAAAGTGAACAAATGCATTAAGAGCAAGGCCTGTGGGGCCTAGAGCAGCAGTTCTAAACTCAGCTGAGTGGAGTCCTGGGGTTCTGCAGAGCCTCCCCCAAAAGGTCCTGAAAAGGACACTGCAGGGAATGACCAAAGTGTGGGCTTAGCCCTCTCCACACCTCCCCTCATTCTTCAGATAAAGCAGCCCCACTTCTCTATATCTGTTCTTTGTATTGGAGGAGTGACAAGAAAGGGGTAAAAGACGGGCTCTGGAGCAGCCTTCCTGGACTTGCACTTGAACCCCCTCGCAACTAGATATGGGACTTGGGCAAGTTACTAACCTCTCTGTATCTCACTGGTAGAATAACTGCAACATTAGAATAGTGCCTGGTTATTATATGTTGGGCTTGGTAGTATGCCTATATTTAATTACCTACCCCTCACATAAGGGTTTTGCATTGGTTCCTGTAGAAAAATAGATACCGGATTATTATGTTCCGTGACACAGCTCCCACAAGACTGCAATGAAAGTCCTGAATCAAGGACTCTAAGATAAAATGACTCTTGTGGTCATCTGGCTTTACTAGGGCAGGAATCCTTCCCATGTCATCCTGGTGAAGAGCCCACATGCTGCACTCAAAACATGCCTGGCAGTTGCCTTTCCCTACCAAAGAAAAGCTGTTGTATCCATAATGGATGTAAACTTGTGTTTGTATAATATCATTTTAATTGGGCAAAAGAAGTTAGAGTAATAACAAAAGAATTATTTTCAAAGATTATAAGTTTTATCCACGGCAAATATTTTTATGTCTTATATTCTGTTTTAGGTCTTGTCATTGCATATACATAATTCTACCATTTTAATAATAATCATTGAAGTTTACTTAATAGTTATCCAGCTTATTTTCTATTGTATTCTCATATTACAAATGTTTTCTATTTTTCTAAAGAGGTGTCATAATAAGCCATTTTAATGACGATGCAATATTTCATCTAGTTTAGTACTGTAATAAACTGTTTTCAATATTTATGTATTTTGAAACATAATGCATGTTTTTATGCAGTTATCTTATTTCCTTTTGAATATTTTCAAGCTATATCCTAGGAGTATATTCTGAGTGAAAGGGGGATAAATATTTTCACAGCTCTTGATAATCTATTTCTAAATTGCTTTCCAAAAGGATTATGCCAGTGTACATGACCCCCAGCCATAGATCTGTATAACAGTGTCAGTACAGACTTTCCAGCATCAAGTAAATTTTCTACATTATTTTGTTAATTTAAAGTCAAAAGTAGTATTTCATTACTCTTTTTGAATAAAAAAAAAATCCCACCGATCCCAATGAGTTCTTTCTGGAGCGACACAGAATAAATTAGCTGAGAGCATCAAATACATGAAGATAGGATCAAATGGAAATTCATTGAAAGAATAACATATAAACATAAGTTATTACTTGTAAAGGTATTTGAGTTCCTCAGAAGAAGTCCAAACCAAATGAAACTTTTTAAAGAAATCAATGAAATGCAACTTTGAAATTTTTTTTCTACCAATCTTTTTTTAATGGGAAAGAGCATTTTTTTTTTGGTACTTCTTCAGGAACTTTGTGATCCTGCTTAAATGGAAGGAAGATGTTTTTAAAACCTATGCCTTGGCTCGGCAGGAAAGTGAGCTATCATCTGTTTCCTTGCAGCCACTTCTGACGGCACAGCAATTAGCTTCTGCTGTGGCTGGCGTGATGCCGGGAGGCCCCCCAGCCCTCAACCAGCCGATCCTCATCCCCTTCAACATGGCGGGACAGCTAGGAGGCCAGCAAGGACTGGTTCTCACACTGCCAACAGCGAATCTCACCAACATCCAAGGGCTGGTGGCAGCAGCTGCAGCCGGAGGCATCATGACTCTGCCATTGCAAAATCTACAAGGTAATCTATAGCGTCTATGTGTCATGCAGGGCTATACCCACTTGCCAGTATTCTCTGAAGTGAACAACAAAAATAGTGCCTAGAATGGTGAATGTGGCTCAGAGTTGCTTCTGCCCTAAACGATATTGAAGACTTTTGTAGGAAGCAAAATTTTCAGTTGTCTGTGAATCCTGAGCTTGCACAAGCACTGGCTTTATCAATCCTCATTTCCTAATAATGGTATCAAAACTTTTCTGGTCTTCTGGAAGCATTTATGTGCCATCATTGCATGACACATCAAAAACTTAAAAGTAAAATTCCTGTTGTTATTTGAAGACCTGAGTTACCATTTCATCAATTCTTCAATTTAGACATGTGTAAAGAAGGGTTAGAGTTTGCTTGTTTGTGTTTGAAGCAATTGGAACTTCTCAAATACAAGACATTATTTGGAATAATTTATTAATGATTATTTTGCTCTACAAAGTATCTTTTAGTTATAGTTATTAAACAAAAAGTGTGGTACTTGAGCTCATATTTTGCAATGAGAAAAATAGACTTGTATGTTGAGCCTGTATATTACATGGGCATATAGCAAGTCAGACTCTAATTTTACTTAGGAAGGGTAGTTATCTTGATTATTATGAAGGTTTTAACTTTTCTCTGAAAGATTTTGTAGCATTGACTGACATACTGATTTATGAAAGATTCTGTCAGAGGAAGAATTATTTTTGTTAACAATGTTATCTTTGTTAACTAAAGAGAAAATGAATTTATTTTAGACTTAGCCAAAGATGTTTCTTTTCTTCATATATATAAAAATTAACAATTAAATTTTTTGCAGAATGAGGACTCATCTGGGTAAGTTATCAGAATAGCAATTTAAAATACTTTTTAGTTGGTCAAATGTCAGTGTTTCATATTATTTATTACAGAATCAGTCCACAAGACTAAGAAACAGGCCAAGTAAGAACTGATTAACTCTTGACCCAAACTTATTTCCATGCTCTGTATTCTGTTATCCCACCCACTGTTGCCACTTCTTGCCTTTCATTTTAATGTTTAAAACAAAATCTCTCTTGTACCATAAAATTGTGCCGAGAAAACTGCCATTCATAAATCATGCATGCCCAGGATACACTAATGCACAAACTTTGCTTGTTTCAAATTTGAGAGTGCCTGGGGGCCAGATCTTGAGATTAAGCAAATAAAGCAGGAATATACAAGGTGAAAGCCAGAGCAACAAAGTGTAGGGAGAGGCTTTTTAATGTAGTTGGATGATGAAATCTTAATGAAGAAATGGGCATTATCAAAATGCAGCCTTCCATTTGGAACATTGGTGCTTATGGGAATATTGAATATTATAAATAAACATAAGCTTGAAGAGCTCCTGGGCCACAAATTAATCCTGTGTGGTTAAGAAGGATGCCAAAAATCAGAGTTAAAAAAAAAATAGGCTTGTTATTTCGTAATTGTGATTTGGCATTCTTAAGATTTTAGTACCTGTTTTTTCAAGGGTTCAAAATTAGTGATTGGTTCAATGTGGACTTCTTCTATTAAGATTTTTCCTTTTGTATTTGTTTGTTGTAAATATCAAATTTCAGTACTAGCTTATAGTTTGGAGTTTGGTTCTTTGGAGTACCTCTGGTTTCACAAAAGGAATCCCAAGTTTTGTGGCCTGATTAAATAGGGGAAACAAAAGCACTCACTTTTTATCCCTGGGCGCTTCCAACACAATTTCTCTCTCAGCATCATCTTCAGAAGTGTGTTGGAGTTGATGCCCAAGCTCTTGTCTGCTACACAAGCACAAGTGAATATTTCCCCTTTGTCTTTCTCTTTGAAATTTCACTGATGTTGGAGAGAAGGTCCAACATCATAAAGTTATGATGAGGTTATTAAAATAAAACACCTCCCTGTTGCAAATCAGCTGTTTATAGGAAAAGCTTTCTAATTAGGCTTAACATCAAGCTCCTTCCCCAATGCATTCTGATTTAATATCTTTGTGAATGAATCCCAAGTCCCAAATCAGGATCCAGGAAAGTTCTACCTTCCAGTTTTCTTGGGATTTTCTATTCCAAGTCTCAGGCAACCCAGAAAGAGGTGGTCATTCTAATGAGAAGTTCAAGGGCAATAAGGATGGTAATCAGGAAAATCTCATGTCTCAAAAGTGCCCAAGATAAATGTCCACCACCTACATGGCAAAGCCAGTGGTCACTTTGCAATCGATCCACCAACAGCCATCCCAAAGCTGATTTTCCCACCTTTAGGTGACCTACTACACAGCCCTTGACAATCCCTAGGTAGAATCAATGGCTTGTGGAACTTCCCAAGCTATGTTGCAGAAGTAGTGGGACTCTTGGGATAGTGGGTGGTTGGCTGGCAGGCTGAAAGGTCATCTGCAGGGGCTCTGAGGCTGACCCAGTCTTCAAGATGACCTCAAATATCGTCCTCTTTCAAGGGTAAGAGTCTTGTAAATGGGCTATCAGTACCTTAGAAGAAATCCTTACATGCATTCTTACAGTCAACAGTGAGGAGAGAAGGCTGTTTCCTCTCCTCTGGCTCTTTCCTATACAATAAACACCATAACCTCAGCCCAAGGCTTTTCTGAGTCTTTAAAATGACTCTTAAGTCTGCTCATCGATAACAAACACCCACTTCTCCAGTGATTTTATACAACAGATTTGGTGGGTCAGTGTGAGGGGGAGGTTGCCTGTTACCGTGTAACATGCTTGGTCATGAATAGTTCCCTTTTCCTTATTGCGAAGTGTTAAGCTTTTACCCCTGAAACAATTCCACCAACTGGAATTGTCCCCAACCTTCCTACCCAGCCCTCCAGCCTGTCTGTTCTTCTAGCTCAAAAGCCACACATTTGCTAAGATGAAAGGAAAAAAAAAAAGTTGCTGACATCAGTCTCTTAATGGTTTGGAATTCAGGGATAAGATTTCAAATATTTTCCTTTTTACTGAAGTGATTGAGAGATTGTTCATTTACATCCCCTATCAAGTTACACGGAATAGCTCTCAGAGCCTCGGAGGCCACGATTTACACATGTATTTTAATGAGCACTCATAACATGCTGTTACACTGAGAGCAGCTCTTCTCGACTCTGACAGCAGGGGTCATATCACAATCTCCTCTCAAAACATGGTCCCCAGACCAGCGGCATCAATGTCTCCTGGGAGCTTGCTAGAAATACAGGACCTCAGGCTCCACCCAAGACCCTCTGAACAGAATCTGCATTTAAAAAGATCCCCCAAACATCTCTACACACATTAAAATTTAAGAAATGCTGATCTAGTTAGACAACCCCCTGCCTCTGTCTGTTTGGGCTGCTATAACATAAAAACCATAGGCTGGGTGGTTTACAAAGAACAGATTGTATTCCTCACAGTGCTGGAGCCTGGGAAGTCCCAGATCAAGGCACAGACAGATTCGGTTCTAGGGAGGGCCCATTCCTGTTTATAGATGTCTGGCTATCTTTTTACTGTGTCCTTCCACCACAGAAGCAATGAGGGAACACGCAGGGTCCCTTTTATAAAGGCACTAATTTCATTATGAGGGCTCCACTCTCTTGACCTAATCAACTCCCAAAGGCCCCACCTGCTGATACCATCACCTTGAGGGTTGGGATTTCAACATATGAATTGGGTGGGGTTGGGGGAGCAAGCATCAGGTCTATGGCATCCCCCAATATCACCAGCAGCCAGAAGCAGAGACTCTTATGATATTGGAGGACCCACATGAAGGCAGTGAATGTCCTCTCCCACTCTTACTCACCACCCCAAGCCTCCAGATGAGAATGACTGAAAAGAATAAGGCGTGGGAACATTTTTGCTTCTGTTAGGACTTTCATAACCTCAAGACCAAGGGAAGTTCTTTTACACAATGGAAGCTCTCTTGAAGACCTTGCTCTGAGATTTTATCTAATGAAGTTTTTGCTTTGCTGTTAAAAATACCTTTTAACTCAGCAGAAAACCTGTATGTGTGGCCTGGGGATTGTTTTCTCTTTCTCTTAGATCCTTCCCAGCATGAAGAGATTCATGCCTGTCTCATCAGTGATGAGGTCTTATTGCAAGAAGATACACAGGAGTAAGGAGTTAGACCTCCTGCAGGATCCTAGGAACAGCCCTGTAACCCAGCCTCATTGGAACCTGAAATGAAATTTGGGCAGTAGAGCATCCAGCAAACCATGAGGCTGCAGGCTGTATCATCCTCTCCTTTGCAGGAGGCAGGCAACTAATCCCCATGCCCAGAATGACAAATGACCCATCTCCCTGTCTTCTCCTGCTCCCTCCGGGACCTTTCTCTACTGCATTGGTTGGCTTTTGGCTAAACCGCAATTCTGGTTCACTCCTGTTCCATTTTGTCTCCTCTAAGGTCAGGCATTTTTCCAATTCAGGTACCTGTCAGGAACTCTCCGTTTTTCTCTGTCTCCATCGTCTTTATCTTTATCCTTATCACCATGTCCATCTAAAATTCTGACTATCCAAGAAAGAAATTACCTGTGAGGCTGAGCCTTTTAATTTAAACTATCTCGTGTTACTGGCCAGACTGGAGACTGACTGCCCTGAGATTGAGAGGTTCATTTTTGTCCTCTCGGTTATGACTCAGGTGGGAAGTGGGAAGCCAGAATGATGTGATATGGAATATGGACAAGTAGGCTTAGGAAACATACTGAACCTCCCTCATCAGCAGAAGGGGTAGCAGGCATGGCAGGCTGGACATTGGCCTTTCTGTTGGGAACTGTAAAAGCCAGTAGCCTTCCCATGAACAAGGACTGAGACAAATTCTGAGCTCAGGAGATGCCAGTGGTGAAATTTAGGTTCTGACTATTTTGAACAAAGTACTTGGAAGCTCTGGCTGGGATTGAAGTCCAGAAATGCTCTATTCAGAGCATTCAGATAAGACCTAGAAATGACCTACTCCTCAAAGCCCTGTGTCCCTATGTGAAATAGAAGTTTTGTGCCCTCTTCTACTTTGCCTTGAGTGTTCCTTTCCTCTTCCAAGTTCAGTCCACCATTAGC